CGGCTGCTTCGGATCGCCGCCTTCAACGCCATGTCCGCCACGAACCCACGCGCGCGCGCTTCCTCCAGCGGCAGGAGGCATTGGCCCCTTGCCTTCGCGCGCCTTGCGGACGGCTTCGTAATCGGCGGCGACCTGCGCGACATAAGGATCGCGCTGGGTATCGGACACGAGCGTGGTGGCCACGCCGACCGCGCGGGATGCGTCGAGGACATGCACCACCGGCCCCGAATAAGCGGGCGCGATGCGCAGCGCGGTGTGGACCGCCGGACGTGGTCGCGCCGCCGATCAGCAGCGGCATGGTCATGCCCGCGCGCTGCATCTCCTCGCCCACCGTCACCATCTCGTCGAGCGATGGGGTGATGAGGCCCGACAGGCCGATCATGTCGGCGTCATTCTCGTTCGCCGCCTCGATGATCTTCGACCAAAGGACCATGACGCCCAGATCGACCACCTCAAGCCGTTGCACTGGAGCACGACGCCGACGATGTTCTTACCGATATCGTGGACGTCGCCCTTCACGGTCGCCAGCACGATCTTGCCCTTGCCCTTGGCGCCCGGCTCCTTGGCGGCCTCGATGAAGGGGAGCAGGTGGGCGACGGCCTTCTTCATCACCCGCGCGGACTTGACGACCTGCAGCAGGAACATCTTGCCCGATCCGAACAGGTCGCCGACGACGTTCATCCCGTCCATCAGCGGTCCTTCGATCACCTCGATCGGCCGCGCGAATTGCTGGCGGCATTCCTCGGTATCGTCGACGACATGCGCGTCGATGCCCTTGACCAGCGCATACTCCAGCCGCTTGGTCACCGGCAGGCTGCGCCATTCGGCCGCCTGCTTCTCCGCCACCGCATCGGTGCCGCGATAGCGCTCGGCCAGCGCGACCAGCCGCTCGCCTGCCTCAGGGATCACGGTTGAGGACGACATCCTCGCACGCACGGCGCAGTTCGGGATCGATCGTGCCACACATCGAGCTGGCCCGCATTGACGATCGCCATGTCCATGCCCGCCGGGATGGCGTGATAGAGAAACACCGAGTGCATCGCGCGGCGCACCGGTTCGTTACCGCGGAACGAGAAGGACAGATTCGACAGACCGCCCGAGATATGGACGTGCGGGCGGCGCGCCTTGATCTCGCGGCACGCCTCGATGAAATCGACGCCATAATTGTTATGCTCTTCGATGCCGGTCGCGACCGCGAAGACGTGGGGTCGAAATGATGTCTTCCGGCGGAAAGCCGATGCCCATCAGCAGGTCATAGGCGCGCGCGCAAATCTCGACCTTGCGGTCCTTGGTGTCCGCCTGCCCGACCTCGTCGAACGCCATCACCACCACCGCCGCGCCATAGGCCATGCAGCGGCGGGCGTAATGGAGAACGCCTCTCGCCTTCCTTCATGCTGATCGAGTTGACGATCGGCTTGCCCGAGACGCACTTCAGCCCCGCCTCGATCACGCTCCATTTCGAGCTGTCGATCATGATCGGCACGCGCGCGATATCGGGCTCGGCGGCGATCAGCTTTGGGAAGGTCGTCATGGCGGAATTCGGCGTCAGTAGCCCCTTCGTCCATGTTGACGTCGACCACCTGCGCGCCATTCTCGACTTGGCTGCGCGCCACCTCCACCGCGCGGGTGTAATCACCCGCCGGGATCATCTTCTTGAACGCGGCCGAACCGGTGACGTTGGTCCGCTCGCCGACATTGACGAAATTGGTGGAGGAGGCAGTCTGAGGTCATATTTCGATCTCTATTCCTCCCTGCAAGGGGGAGGTGGCGAAACGCAGCCCCTGACGGAGGGTGTCACGCTATCGAGAGGTGGTGGCGGGCCGGATTGCCCCCGGCAATCCTCCGAACCCGCGGGGAGGCGGGTTCGACCTGCTAGTCCCCTCCACCAGCTTCGCTGGTCCCCCCCTTACAGGGGAGGAATAAGGGTCAGGGCCGCCATGGTGAACGGCTCCAGCCCGGCAGGCGGGTGACGACCGGCGGGTCGGGATGGTGCGGGGCTTCATGCCCTTCACCTTGTCCGCGATCGCCTTGATATGCGCGGGCGTCGAACCGCAGCAGCCGCCGAGCACATTGACCTGCCCCTCGACCGCCCATTCGCCGACCCGGGGCCCGCGGTGGTCACCGGCGCCTCGTCATAGGCGCCCAGCTCGTTGGGCAGCCCGGCATTGGGGTAGATCATGATGAGCGTGTCGCCAAATCTCCGACACAGCGTCTTGACGTGCAGGCACTGCTCCGCCCCGAACGAGCAGTTCAGTCCGATGGTCAGCGGCTTGGCGTGGCGCACCGCGTGCCAGAAGGCCTCGACGGTATGGCCCGACAGGTTGCGGCCCGACAGGTCGGTCAGCGTCATCGACAGCATGATTGGGATTTCGCGGCCGAGCGCCTCGCCCGCCTCGATCGTGGCCATGATCCCCGCCTTGGCGTTCAGCGTGTCGAACACCGTCTCGATCAGGATGAAGTCCGCCCCGCCCTCGACCAGCGCATCGATCTGTTCGCGGTACACGTCCTTTGAGGTAATCGAAGTCGATCTCGCGATAGCCGGGATCGTTGACGTCAGGCGACAGCGACAGCGTCTTGTTGGTCAGCCCGATCGCGCCCGCGACAAAGCAGGGCGCCCGTCCTGGCACGGAACTCATCGGCGATGCGGCGGGCGAGCTTGGCGCTCTCGACATTGATCTCCCGCACCAGATGCTCCGCGCCGTAATCGGCTGGCTGATCCGGTTGGCGGAGAAGGTGTTGGTCTCGGCAATGTCCGCCCCCGCCTCGAAATAGGCGCGATGGATCGCCTCGGGCACCTCGGGCTTGGTCAGCGCGAGGGATGTCGTTATGCCCTTCTGGTCATGGGTCAGGCCCAGCGTACCCCATAGGCCGCCTCGTCCAGCTTCCAGTTCTGGATCTCGGTGCCGAACGCGCCGTCGGTGATGAGGATGCGCGTGGCGGCTTCGGCGAGGAATATGTCGCGGGTGGTCATGGTCTCTCCTGCCCCTCCGGCGAAGGGCGTATTGGCATTCGTCTAGGGCGGAGAGGTTACGCAGCCGCTACCGTCTCGGCCTTCTTGCCGCGCACGCCAGCATATGGCTGATGGCGTAGGCCAGCTCGGCGCGGTTGAGCGTGTAGAAGTGGACCCCTTCACCCCGCCCGCGTAGAGGCGACGGCACATCTCGGCGGCGATCGTCGCGGCGACGAGCTGGCGCGCGGCAGGATGATCGTCAGCCCTTCGAACAAACGGTCCATCCAGTCGGGGATGCTGGCGCCGCATGCCGGCGAATTTGCGCGTCTGCGCGACGTTCGACACCGGCAGGATGCCGGCACGATCTCCGCCGCGATCCCCGCCGCGGGCGGCAGCATCGCGGAAGCGAAATAAGCTTCGGGCGAAGAAGAACTGCGTGATCGCCGGGTCGCGCCCGCGTCGATCTTGCGCTTCAGATTGTCGATATCCGCCTGCTGATCGGCCGAGTCCGGATGGCATTCAGGATAGGCCGCGACCGAAATCTCGAATGGATGCAGCTTCTTCAGCCCCGCGACCAGATCGGCGGCATTCTCATAGCCGCCCGGATGGCTGACGAAGCGTGCGCCCTCGGCAGGAGGATCGCCGCGCAGCTCGATATGCCCACGCCCGCCGCCCAATATTCCTGCGCGACCTGATCGATCTCCTCGCGGGTTGCCTCGACGCAAGTCAGGTGCGCCGCAGCCGCCAGCGTGGTCTCACGCTGGATACGCGCCACCGTCGCATGGGTCCGCTCACGGGTCGAGCCGCCGGCGCCGTAGGTCACCGAGACGAAGCGCGGATCGAGCGGCTCCAGCGTGCGGATCGCGCCCCAAAGCTGCGCATCCATCTTCTCCGTCTTGGGCGGAAGAATTCGAAGCTCACCGCGATATCGCCGCCGACATCGGCGAACAGCGGTTCCTCATGCGCCAGCGCGGCCTCGGCCTGCGTCAGGATCGTGTTCGTCATGCCGCCTTTACCCTATTCGTCTCGACGGGCCGAAGCCCCTTCTTCACACCCAGCCAGAGCTTGACGGTCGTTCGCCACCCTCCAGCGTCTCGGTCTGCGCCAGCGTCAGCCGGCGGGACCGAACCAGCCCGCAATCTGCTCATCGGCAAAGCCCAGACGGCTATGCGCCGCCTTTTGCCGCAATTCCTCGCGATCGTGCGGCGCGAAGTCGGCGATCAACAACCGCCCACCCGGCCCCAGTACCCGCGCCGCCTCGGCGATCGCCGCGCCCAGCTGCTGTGCGAAGTGGAGGACATGGTGCAGGATCGCGATATCGGCCGCGCCGTCGCCATGGGAAGCGCATAGAGGTCCACGGCGCAACTCGGTATTGGCGCGCCCGTGCAGCAGCCCCGCGCCAGTCGCAGCATCTCCGACGAGCGGTCGATGCCCAAGGCCGCGTCGGCACGATCGCCAAACAACTCCAACATGCGGCCCGTACCGGTACCGATGTCGATCAGCGTGCCGAGATGGCCTTCGCCGATCACGCCCGTCATCGCCTCTTCGATCTCGCTGTCGGCGACATGGAGCGAGCGGATCGCATCCCACTCGCCGGCATGGTCCTCGAACCACGCCGCCGCGCTGGCCGCCGGTCGCGCGCACCGCCGCAGGCGCGCCGTCGGCGACGACGACCGGGGGTCAGGCGTCTCCGCCGTCCAGCGGTCGAGCGCCGCCATCACCAGCTCCACCGCGTCGCGATCACCCAGCGCGACGAAGACCCAGCTACCTTCCTTGCGCCGCTCGCCAGTTCGGCGTCGACCGGGATCTTTACATGGCGGCTGACCCGTGGCTGGCTCTGGCCGAGCACCTGCGCCAGCTCGCCCACGGACAGCTCCATCGAGCGGGCAGCGCCAATATGCGCAGCCGCGTCGGATCGCCCAGAGCGCGAAAGATTTCGAGCGCATTCGCCATGGATCACGATATAAAGATATCTTTATATGCGGTCAACGGAAGGAAGAGATTTCGGCCGACACGGACCCGAAACGGATAATCTGCGTTGGCACGCCGATCATATGTTTGAAACGGGAGTGTTTGCCGCGAAGAAGGCCTGATCCTCGCCCTGACCGGTGCCGCCGCGATCTCGCTGGCCGCGTGCAGCGAAAAACAGCCCGCACCCAGACGGAGCAGGCCGCCGACGCCATCGCCGCCGATGCCAAGGCAACGACCCAGAACGCCTCGGACGATGTCGAGGCCGCGACGCTCGCGCGCTGAACTCGGCAGAACACCATCGACCGCGCGGGCGACAAAGCGACCGGGCCGGTGATCGTGCCGCTGTCCGGGCCGATCGCGCTGGCGACAATATCGATCGTGGCCTCGACCGGGCCGGCGACAAGATCGAGCAGGGGCGCGGACAATGCGTCAGGCGACCGGCAACGCGCTGGTCCGCGCCGGCGAAACGTCCGCCGCTAATCGCGCCACTGCATGAAAAAGGGCCGGTCGTGGAATGCCCGACCGGCCCTTTTTTTGTGATCGGGAAACCGATCGACTTACAGCGCCAGATCGGGATGGCGGTTGGGGCTGACCCGCGTTGCCTCGGGGCGCAGGGGCCTCGGTGGTCGCAGGGCTCGACACGGCCGGCGGGGCCATGGCGAGTTACAAGGTCTCCGCCGTCGCCGCCCATTCATGCGCCAGCAGATCGCGATCCTCATTGAGCGCGGTGCCATAGCTCGGCACGATCTCGCGGATCTTCGCCTGCGGGGCGGGGTCGCCAGCCGGTCGGGGAAGACCTTCTTGATCAGGTTCAGCATGATCGACGGCGCGGTCGAGGCGCCGGGCGAGAGCGCCCAACAACGCGGCGATCGACCCGTCCTTCCGACGCGACGATCTCGGTACCGAGCTTCAGGACGCCGCCCTTATCAGGATCGCGCTTGATGATCTGCACGCGCTGGCCCGCCTGCCATAGCCGCCAATCGCCGTCCTTGGCATTCGGAAATATTCCCGGGCGCGTTCATCCGGTCTTCACGGCTCATCATCAACTGGCCCGCCAGATATTCGACCAGCTCGAACTCGTTCCAGCCGACCGACAGCATCTGGCCGGAAATTGTCGAGCGTCACCGACTTGGCAGATCGAAGTAGGAACCTTCCTTCAGGAACTTGGTCGAGAAGGTCGCAAAGGGCCCGAACAACAGCACCTGCTTGCCGTTCAGATAACGGGTGTCGAGATGCGGTACCGACATGGGGGCGGCGATCCGGTCGCGGCCTTGCCATAGACCTTGGCCAGATGACGGCGCGCGATGGCGGGATTCTCGGTCACCAGAACGATCCGCCGACGGGGAAGCCGGCATAATCGTCGCCTTCCGGGGATACCCGATTTCTGCAGGATGGGCAGCGCACCACCGCCCGCCCGGCGAAGACGAAGCGTGCGGTGATGATCCCTGTCGCCCGTCTTCATCGCGCGCGGTCACGCGCCACGTGCCGTCATTGTTGCGCTCCAGCGAGCGGACCTCGTGACCGGTGGTCAGCGTCACGCCGGGCTTGCCCTGCATCGAGCGGATATATTGGCGCGTCACCTCGCCCCATTCGCAATCAGTGCCGAGCTGGGACCGGGTCGCGGCGAGCTTCTGCCCGCCCCTTGCGCCCTTCGATCATCAGCGGCACCCATTGCGCGATCTGGCGCAGGTCGGTGGTGAACTCCATGCCGAGAAGAGCGGGCTGGCGAGCAGCGCGGCGTGGCCTTCTGCAGGAAGGCGACATTCTCGTCGCCCCACACCAGTTCATGTGCGGGGGTCGAGTTGATGAAGCTGCCGGGGTTCTGCAGCGCGGTGCGGAGCTGGTGACTTAGGAACTGGCGCGTGACTGGAACTGCTCGTTGATCTCGATCGCCTTCTTGATCTCCAACCCGCCCGTCGGCCTCGTTGACCGGCGTATAGTTAAGTTCGCACAGCGCCGAATGGCGGTGCCGGCATTGTTCCAGCCGTTGAACTTTCCTCCGCCACCTTATCCAGCCGCTCGACACATCTCGATCGTCCAGCCGGGCTCCAGTTCGCGCAGCAGCACACCCAGCGTCGCGCTCATGATGCCGCCGCCGATCAGCAGCACGTCGACCTTCTGCTCGGACGCCGCCGCCTCCGCCACGAACGGCGCGACCGAAGCCGTGCCGCCCGCCGCCAGCGCGGAACCCATCATGGCCCGCCGGGTGATCCCGTCGCCAACAGGTTCGGGGAGCACGCGCCCGGCCCCGCTGGTTTCGATCGTCACTCGCATGTTCGACGCCTTTTCGATTGGGTCATCCGCGCTGTCAGCAACCTATGGTTGCCACGAACAGCATGACCGCGATGTCCAAAATCGGGCGCAGCCTTCCGCCAGCCGCGATCACGCGAGCGGAAAAGCGGCCGCAAACCGGCCTTCCGTTCCTCACCCAAATGTTTGATTTCATGTACCAGCCATTCGTATAGCCGACTCTTATCGGCTGTCCATGCCGGCCAAAGCCGCTGTTCGACAGCTTTGTCGGGGCAGTCAACAAACGACCTTTCCCAAGTCTGCATGAGCTTTTATCGATAATGCATTGCAATATATGCAATGCTGTCAATGGTGCGCCAATTTTCCGCTCACCCTTTGGACGATTGCCGCACCGTTGTTCCGGCAAACCGCTCAAAAAGCCGCTTGTGCCCGGCTTGCGCGGCTGATTTTATTGTCCTACAAATCGACTTATAAAAATTTTTAGAGAGGCCGTGCCGCCGTGCCAGCAGACGTAACGCCCGCCTATCTTGCGATCGACTGGGGTACGACCAACCGCCGAATCTATGTGATCGCCAGCGATGGCACGATGCTCGACACGATCCGCGACGACCGCGGCGTGCTCGCCATGGCGGCGGAGAGTACCCCTCGGAGATCGCGGCCATCCGCGATCGGCTGGGGCGATTCGCCGATCATCGCGGCGGGCATGGTCGGGTCGACCCGCGGCTGGCGCGAAGCGGCCTGGCGTCCCCGCCCCGCCGATCTGGCGACGCTGGCCAGTGCCGCCACCCCGGATCGAGGAACGGCAGGTCACCATCGTCCCCGGCGTCTCGCTGTTGACCGACACCCGTGCCGATGTGGATGCGCGGGGAAGAGGCAGGTGCTGGCGCAATCGTCGTTGGTTTTGGTCCCGGCCGACGCGTTGTTCGCGCAGCCGGGCACGCACAATAAATGGGTCCATACCCCAAGGCGGCAGGATCGCCGATCGCCACCACCATGACGGCGAACTGTTCGCGCTGTCGGGGCATCCTTGACCGGGCATGCTCGACGGCCCTGTCGCCGATCTTTCGACGGCCTGTCGCGGGCAGCAACGCGTGCGATCTGACGGCGGCGCTGTTCGGGGTACCTCCGTCCTGCTCGGCCGGATCGACGGATGCCAGCGGGCTGCTGATCGGCAAACATCGGTGCGGTGCCCGACGGCAGACCGTCTATCTCCTGTCAGGCGGCTTGCTCGCCGACCTTTACGCCATCGGGATCGAAACAACGCGGCAGGCCGCGTCGTCGCCTCTGACAGCCATGCTGGTTTCCTCGCCGGCCTTCACGCCATTCGGGGAGCATTTGTCGCGACCGACCCAGCCGCACGGTTCGCTGCCGCCTTCGCCGCCTGCCCGCTCGTCGCGATCCTGCGTGGACTGACCCCGCCGAGGCGATCCCCGTCGCCGATGCGCTGGTCGAGCTGGCTTCACCCTGATCGGTGCCGCTCTGTCCTCGCCCGATCCGTATGACAGCATCGCCGCCATCACCGCCCATGTCGGAGACAAGGCGATCGTCGTGCGGGGCAATGCTGACCACAAACCAAGTCGACCAAGTGGCGGGCCGGCGGCAGCCTGATCGTCTCCCAACACCGATACGGATGTGATCGCGCATGGCGTGGCCGAGGGCTGATCTCGCTGCCCGGCTGTTATTTCACCCCGTCCGAAGCCTTTGCCGCTCTGAAGGCCGGCGCACATGGCCTGAAAGCTGTTCCCGGCCGAAGGCGCCTCCCCACCTTCCTCAGGCGCAGCGCGCCGTGCTGCCACTGCGATGTCGCGGTGCTGGCGGTCGGCGGCATCACCCCGACAACATGGCTGGAGTGGCGCGCCACGGTGCGGACGGCTGGCACAGGCTCCAATCTCTATCGCGCGGGCAAGCCGGCGGCGGATGTCGCCGTGTCGGCGCGCGCTTATGTCGAAAAAAGGCACGCTGATACCGATGACCGACACGATCCGTCTCGCGCTGGTCGGCATGGGCAAAGATCGCCCATACCAGCGTGTCCCCGCCATCGCGGGGAACCCAACCTTCGAACTGGTCGCGACCGTCAGCCCGCTCGCCCAATGGAGTCGAGGGCGTGCCGCATTTCCACGACATCGACGAACTGGCCAAGAGCGACATCACCGTCGATGCGGTCGCGCTAATGCACCCCGCCGCAGGTCCGCCACGCCATCGCCGCCGCCGCGCTGGAGAATAACTGGCGTCTTCCTCGAAAAAGCCGCGGGCGCGACGCTGGCCGAGGTGGCGGTGCTGGAGAACTGGCCGAGGCGGGCGTGACCCTGTTCGCGAGCTGGCACTCACGCTACGCGCCGGGCGTCGAGCCGGCACGCGAATGGCTGTCCGCCCGCAGGGTCACCTCGCTGCGATCACTTGGCGCGAGGGATGTGCGCCAATGGCATCCGGGCCGGGCTGGATCTGGGAAGCGGGCGGCTTCGGGCGTGTTCGATCCGGGCATCAACGCGCTGTCGATCGCGACACATCCTGCGAAGGCGTGTTCTTCATCGCGCGCGCGACGCTCGACTTCCCCGCCAATCGCGATGCGCCGATCGCCGCCGATGTGGCGTTCCGCACGATCGACGGCACGCCCGTCACGCTCGACCTCGACTGGCGGCAGGAAGGCCATCGAAGCTGGGACATCGTCGTCGAGACGAGCGACGGTACGCTGAAGCTGGCCGAAGGTGGCGCGGTGCTGACCCTGCCTGGATGGCTCGACCCGCATCATGAGGGGAAGGGCTGCGGCAATATCCGGGGCTCTACGCGCACTTCGCCGAACTGGTGCGGGGCGGCCGCTCGGACGTGGACATCGCTCCCTTGCGCCATGTCGCCGACGCCTTCATGCGCGGCAAGCGGCGTGAGGTCGAGGATTTCGTGGGTAATTCGCCGTTCTAAGGTCATTCCCAGCCTTCGACTTCGCTCAGGCTGAACGGATGGGGAATAGTAGCAGCCCTCCGTTCGCACTCCGAGCGAAGTCGAAGTGCACGCCACGTCAAGCCAAAAATAAGGCCGGTTGTCCGCAGGCACGACCGGCCTTTCAGTTCGAGGGATTGGCGGGATGCGGGGCTACCCGCCGGGGGAAGCGGGTTAGAAGTTGATCGTCGTCCCGATCGCGATCTGCCGGCCCAGCGCGTCGTAGCGCTGCGGCGCGGTGTTGGTGCGCGACAGGGCGACTGGTACAGTTCGGGATGATCGGCGGCGTCTTGTCGAACAGGTTGTTCGCGATGATCCGGAAGGCGAACTTGCGTGCGACATTCCAGTCAGCGCCGGTCGAAGAAGCTCTGCGGCGCGATGCGGGCGAACGTATTCTGGAACCGCTCGGGCGTGCCGCCGATATCGGCGTTGCCCGAATTGTTCGCGGTCGTCAGCGACCCGATGTAGCGCCAGTTGAACGACACGTTGAAGTCGCGATCCGGCGTG